AAATAAATAAAAAAACAAGAAAAAAGTGCAGAAAATCGTACACGACTTCCGTCAACGGGAACAATATGACCTTATTTTACCCTAATAAGCCCGGAGATGACATATTTTTACGAAAGATGCCACTTGGGTGTCTGCCAAGGTGTTCGCGGCTGAATTTTGCAAAGCGCGCACCGCTGACAATAAACTAACTTCAGGAGTATTTACACTCTGGAAAATTGCATGGAAGTTTTTTAAAGTGATAAAGACTATTTTATCGCGTAAAATCATTAACAAATAAAAATGGTAAGTGCAGCGTTACTAGGCGTTAAGTATACAAAGTTTTTCCCAAGTATTTTATAATCTCGTCGTATTGATAGATTACGGCATCGATATCAACATTTTCCTTACAAGGCCATCTTATAAGATTTTTAAAAATAGCCCCTGAATTTATATCCTTAAGTATATTTTCCTCTCTTATCCGATTATATAAATTATTATTATAATATACACCTTATGGTATATGCGCTCTTATGTGGTGGTTTTCTTAATTCTGTTTTTTAAATTCTGCACGAAAGAGGGGAAAAAAGAAAAAATTCTTTTAATAGCTACGCGAGACTTTATTGGATATTGCCAGCCAAAATGATGCCATTAGGCGTACTTAGCTGGAATTTTATCGCCATCTTTTATGCTCACGACTCCCGTGAAACGATAAAAACGAGGTTTCAACGTTGTGTATGGAGGCAAAATTTTATTGCATTTTATGTGTGATTTCGAAATAAATTTTTACTCAAGCATTAAAAATTATCACTATTTGGCAAAGTGAAATAAGAATTTTTTTTTTATATTTGTGCGAAGATGATTTACAAAAGATATACATGCTTGCTTCTAAAGAAATGTTATCATTCCAGTTATAAAATGTTTTTAACTAACGTATTTGGATAGAAATATTAGCAGCCGTTATCTACTAAAACCGAATAGCAAGGTCTTATCACCAAAATAACGATGATGTACAAATACACTCCCATACAATGTTGATAAAGAACAAAAAACAAAAACAAAAACTAAAACAAAGAAAACTTAACATTATATGAGTAAGTGAATATCTTAACTCATTATAAGTGAGATTTTTATAACGTCGCCCCCTATAAATGTATTAAACAAACATTTACGGACAAAATGTAATTCAAACAAATTATCTGCCCACATTAGAGTTGTCAATTTAATATTAAGAATAATTAACATTTTACGAACATTTTTAAATATAATTAGTACCATGTTTATTGATTATTTGTATAATGATAGCAGCTAAGTCTATCGTCAAATTCCTTGTTCATGCGGTTGATGACATTATAACTGCTCTAATTGCTCACATAATTAGAGCAAATTGTGAATTCAACCGAATTATTGGATAATAATAACTGTTGTAAAATAAATTCTTTCTCACAGAATATAGTTTATATAGAAAATCTATGCAAATAAATAATAATACCTTTGGAAATGAGCGAATGTATTATGATTTCGAACCACTTTTTATTCGATTTGAATACGATAATTAAAAATTAAATTTAATATGAATTTAATTACAAAGAAAATTAAAAAATCTATTGCTGATGCAATAGTCAGCAAATATAAATATAATGAGTATTTAAATATATATATATATATATATATAAAACATTTAAGAAGTAATACTATTAATAATATATTAATTAATTGATAAGTAGGTTAATTAAAAAAAAAGAACAATGTTATTTTTAATTAGTTATTAAATACTTGAATAAACTTTAATATTAAACTGCATAAAATTTTTAGATTACAAAATAAAAAAAAAATGGCTCCAGGGGGGATCGAACCCACGACCTTCGCGTTATTAGCGCGACGCTCTAACCAACTGAGCTATGGAGCCGATGATGAGAAGAGTAAGTACATTATTTATAAATATATTAAATAAGGTTATGTAATATTATAAACAATTTCATTATATCAAATATTTTATTTATTATATACATTGGTTTTTTTTCTCATTTGTAATTATCGAATTACATGAAATGACTTTTCTTCAACAGATTATATTATTTGTCAGCATCCATGCAGACTTTAAATATATGGCATTATATCAATTCATGTTTTGTGGAAACAATTGAGAAAATGTTTGTATCTATAAATTTCAAGTGCCGACTTTAACCTTTATAAAAAAATAATTTGTTATAAAAATTAAGTTAATATTAGAAGCGAAAATTGTTTAAATTAGTCAAAATGCCGAAAGAACAACCAAAGGATATGCTTAATGAATCTACGGATGAAGTGATTTATAGAAGCAAAAATAAAGCATTATTCACGAATCTTGTGAAGACAACGCGCTTTAACAAGCGTGAGTGCGAAGGTAGTGATTAAAGTAATGTAATTTATTGCGGTCTCGTATATTATTGCGAATATCTCAGATTTCTTGACATAATATTCTTTTTCATAATTTTCTAATCTAGCTGCATGCTTGATACACCGTAAAATTCAAAACGTATATAAAACGTTAAATTTAGCTGCGTTTCGTGATATTCTTCATAGTGGATTCGACTTTACCGAAAACAGACGCCATGTACTATTAGATAGAATATTTTCTTTATTCGATAAGCATAACAATCTTCAAGTAAATTCAACATCATTTAACGAATTACTTATATTGAACATCATAAAGATTATTATCGACAGTTTATTTAATTTGTTTATTTTCAGATTAATTCTAAGGAATGGGTTACGGGATTAGCTAAGCTTTTAGATAATGCGATTGAAACGCGAATTCATTTTGGATACGGAGTATCGACAACATTTTCTCTAATCACATTTTGTCGACATATGTATATATAAGTATTTAAGTAAATTCCCTTTTAGGTTTACGATTTAATGAAATCCAATCAATTAACGAAAGATCAAATGTTCCCAATGCTGCGTGGCTGCTTTATAAAATTGCAACCCGAGGAGGATGCCGATGACATGGTGAAGGTAAGAAAGTACATAGTTTTCAATGCAAGTATCTGAAAGTGATATATGCATGACGCAGTTTCATAAAAATAAATCATAAGATTTATTACTTATAAGTGAATAATATAACGGGTGTTTATAACAGCGTAACTTGAAAAATTCTTTATTTTGTATATATTTTTTTTTTTTATTTACTATAAAGTATCACATATTTATGATGCATTTATTGAAAAAAAAATAAATATATCTATATAATATTAAAAAGACGAATCGGCCACGAATTTATATAGTAATAAAAAAAAGTAAAAACATTGCATAAAAAATTTGCACAACTAATAAGTAAGTAATAGATTAATCATTTACTCTAGGCGTTATGATTCTAGAGAAGCTAAGCTTTTATTATTCCCATCGCATATAACAAAGATATTCATAATAATAGCTCGTCATAAAAGAGCGTCAGATGTTAAATTTTAAATGTTAAATTCGATTAAAATCTAATAACAATGGATTTTCTTGAAAACTCGATGCTCATTCTACTTGCAGGATATGATAGATTTGCTGGTGAAGGCTATCGATATCAACAGGGACGGGGATGTCTCCCTAGAAGAGATGCGCGACGCTGTCCTCAAGAAAAATCTGCTCTTCGTTGAATCCATGGGGCCTGTGTTTCCCTCGCGAGAGGCCAAACACGCGTTCCTATCGACGATAACGGATCGAGTGCCGCCGTTCTAGCCGGGCCGCTCCGTACTCACACGAGCAAGCACAAGTAGCATCAGGAAAGTAAAAAAAAAAAAAGAAAAAAAGAAAAAAAAAAGGAAAATGAAAAAAAAAATTGGAAGAAGAAGGAAGAAGAGCCTCTCGGATGAATGGCGCCCGGGGGCAATCCATCCCTCCGGCAAGACAGGGCGTATAAAAAGGAGATCGGCAGGTAGTCGGGGCGCGCGAATGCCTCAAATGAGACAGAAAGTATCGGCTGCCGCTCGAGCGACTCGCTTCACGATCGATCGACGCTCGCTGGCCCTACTGTCGCAAACAATCGCGCTGACGAGCCTCGATCGTAATCTCCCGAGGGCAGGTGGAGGCTTAGGCCATCCGGGCGAGGTCTTCTTATCGGCTTTTATAGCCCCGGCAATTGAGATCGTGCGAACGCGCGGACGTGGAAGCGTGGGTCGTCCGCTTAACCTGGAAGATCATCCGTCAGCGTTTGCCGAGTGTTTACTCCCGCGGACCGGATATTTACGCGATTTACGCGCTGGGAAATATTGGCGAGTGGAGCGGCGGGCCACGAGAAGTCGGGCCGATGGGCCCATTGTCGAAAATCTATTTATACCCCAGACGATCGAGCTCTCGATAATGGCTAATTGCGTTGGTTAAGAGTGACGTACGATTGCGATAGGGATTCGTGGCTCGGCGTAATTATATCGATGATTTTTGTTATTATCTCGACTAGCTCGCTATTGTTTGCCCCCGGATATCCTTATCACCTCGAGTCCTTATCTCCGATCGTCTATAATTGTCGCTACTTTGTCGAGTTAAACGTACTTTTTGCCAACGAGCCTAAATTGCCGTCCATTATGCTGACACGCGCATCTGTACAGAAATATTATTTCACAGAACAGAGAGTTTTTCAACTCTCAATGTGTCGGTATCCGTTTCCCGGACAAAACTAAACGCTTTTCAACGAGGCAACGCTAACCATTCTTAGTCCGATACCTCGAATTCAATCCATTATGAATTAGAGCCGAAGGCTGCTTTCGGCCAAGGAAAACATTTCTAGCGCACCCGAGGAAACACAGATGCTCCAAAACAGCCGATTCCAAGATTAAATTACAAACGACTGAGATTATTTTCAAATTGTTTCCGTGATACGTCGGATCGAGGCGCATCGATCGTCCGTTAAGAATCTGTAAATAGTCATTGAAAGGGACAATGCTCGCAACCCTTCCTTTCACGACGTGCGACGGCGGTTGCGTCGTCGTCAGGACGCGCGTTACCGAAAATATAATGAATGTTCGAGGGCAGCTATAACAACAAATCGAGGAAGCCCGGATTTCGCGAGGATCGTGAGGCGCACGAGATACATTGTGCGGAGGCCGATTCTTTGTGGGTAGCCGAGCGCGTCCTGAAAGGATCACGGAGGTACGTAGGCACGCGCTCTAAAGAATCGGTGGAGGTCGAGATTGACTGATTAAAGGAACCGGAGGACCGAAGGAGCAGGCATTCGGTCATTATTAAAGCGAAACTCATTCGCTCGCGTTTCAATGCGCGCGCGCGCACACGAGCAGCAAAAGTTACGCGTTACCACGCTACTCCATATCCAAGTCCGCCTCTGTCCTACCCTACAAAGAGAATCTATAAAAATTATTGCCAATTTTTACCGTACGGGCAATCGCGTTCACTCGCCTATCTTCTCTACCTTCCAACGTCGCTTTCATTTTTCCAAATGCCGTTTCAAGATTTTTTACCGCGTTCCTCAGGAGTCCTGGCTACCGTCGTAACTCTACACGATTGCCGCTTCGAGAAGTTAAGAGCTTATGTGCTCACATGTACAGGGCAGCTTTGTACGAATATTTTACATAGTTCTCTGCATAAATACTCGTCGCGTACACGCACGCGCGCCTCTCTTAGATACGCCATGTCTCTCGCACGTAACAAAGTAATTGCAACTCGCGCACTTGTCCGGCACCAAGTGCCTCATTTTTCTTTATCTTTTTTTTTTTTGTTTATGCTCTTTTTGTTTTGGTTTTTTTGTTTATGTTTTAACCAGTGAGAAACTCGAAGAGCCACCGGTGCCTCTTACATTCCTCTCTCGGAATTAGCACCTACGCGGTGTACCCGGGCCCCCGTAAAATACCACGTATGCTTACTCGCTCGCTGTCGCTCCGCTCGCTCCGCTCGCTTAACTTATCTCGATGTAAAATTACGCTTCGGCGATGCTCGGAAGGGATCGTGAATCGCCGCCCTCCTCGCATCAATCGCTCCCACAGCGACATCAAAATTATTCTTCGTGCGCGCGCGCCTCCCGGTCGCGTGTTTCTCCGCGAGGATAAGGATGAAATTGAGGGAAAGGCGCGTGCGTGCCGCGAGATAAATGAGTACCTGCCGATACTCTCGGGTTTCCAGGGCGCCGTTTGAGAAAACAAGCCCCTGGCGTGTCGATGCTCTTCCTCGTCTTCGTCCCTCTGCGGCTACTCCGGGACGACGTGGACAACGTGGATTATTAATCGGACCACGGGGGCGTCGAACGCCCCTGAGGCATTGCTACGCTATCGCGGGGTCATTACGTGAACAATTGGAAAATTTATAAGCATCGCAACTAGGATATTATCGGGCGATAAGTTCGGCACCGTACCGTCGGTTGGAAGCTCCGAGGGGGAAATTAGCGATAATATCGATCGACGTTCGGTGAGACTAACGGTTCATGCGATGATGGATCGTTGATTCGACGGCTGTGCGAAGCTGAACGAAGGCCCGGCAGTTATAGAAATTAATTTGGCTCGAACAATGCTCGAAACGTTGATCAATCGAGTTTTGGACTAACTGCTAAACCTAACTTGTTCACTTAATGCTATCTCCGCAGCTCGTGGTAGCACTTAATACAGAGTCAATACATATTATCTTGGGATTATGCAATAAATTTATAAACATTTTACTCGTAGTACATAAAAGTCAGTGAAACATCTTATCCCTAGCATGCATCTGAATTTAAGTAATTTCTGTTCAACTACATACGTACGTAAATTACACGAGCTCGTACAACATCGCGTATACAACGCGCGCGCGCGCGCTCGCTCGCACACACATTACAAAAGAAAACTATTACTTATCATTCAGCCGAGATTGTACCTGAAAATTACCGACCCAACGGCGAAACATCGTAATGCACGAACCCGAGGCGCTCGTAGTGCCTCGCCCCGTGAGCTCATCTATATGAACCATTAAAATTAGAATAAATCGAGCGGTCGGCTTTCCCATCATCATTAACCTTCTTTGCTGGCCACTAAAAGTGAATTATATTCGGCGAGTGCTGCACGAATTGAAACAATGAAATCCGAAAGCCTTTATAGCCTCGTGTAAGCACGTCGCGCGCTGCCTCGGAGGAACATCTTGCCCTCGAGCTCTTACCTCCTCTCCGACCCGCCTTGCCCACGCTACCGCCCCACCCCCGCTCAACAACGCTCCCCTCGCCGACACCGCCGACCGACGCTCCCAATTGCACGTTTCCCCCGGGCGTCTTGTCTTAACTTGCCAACAGAGGATTCGCAATCGGGCCAAGTTCGCGCACGAACTCCTTCGGTCGAGCGCCTCCCTCGCAATTAGTAATTTCACGCGCGATCGTCCGTTGCAGTGTTGAACATTTCTTTGACAAAAATCGTTGGGAGTTAGCTGCTCTGTCGCTAAACTCCATTGCGGACGCTAAACGCTCGTCGCGAGCCTTTTTAATCCTACCGCAGACCCAACGACTAATTCATATTTCACTAATTACTAATCAACTTGAAACTCCTCGCTTTATGCATTCTCCTAATGATTATATTTATGAGGTAAGTACGAGCGAGAAGGCATTAACGATAACAATAAATAACGCGCCTTCCCTTTCATCCAGCGAATTTCTAAGCTTTCAGCAACAAACAATTATGCTCATAATCATATACTATTTAGCATGTAATTTGAGGGCAGAACGAGAAAAAAAGGGTATACAAGGGAAAACTAAAATGGCTAGGATGCCGCGGTCATGAACGTTTCGCTTTATCCTGAAATCTCGCGGAGCTAAGTCAACGAAATTGGTTAAGTCCCGCCATTAACAGCCTAGCGAGGCAACCGAACGCAAGAGTAGGGGATAGAGAAGCGAACAAAAGGAGCATAACCAAAGGGAATACCGAGGGAGAAGCCTCTCGAGCGCGCCTTCCCTCTTCATCTCGTACTCGCGCTCCCACCCGCTCCCTCCACCTCCTCCCTGGGATGGTAACATAAATTATAATCAGAGGCCGAGATCCTCTCGCGTTTCAACGCGAGCGAACGGCCTACGTGATAAAACTCAGGGAGATTCGATTTGTGGGCCCCCGCATCAAAGGCCATACGCCGGCACGAAAGCAGCCCCGCGCGAGAAATTACGAAAAACCTTTGTCCGCGGCTGCCAATCATCCTCCGAGCGCCTGGCTAAAGGATAACCTGCCCGGAAATGACCGATCCGGCGACGACTTCCCGCTTGCGTGATATCGGGAACGCGAGAGGAGAGGCTGAGTTGCGTTGCCGTGCGATTGCACGCGGACGTAAGGCAGGATATGCAATTTTTCACAGGCGTTGAGTCGGCGCGCTTAACGTTCGAGATTTTCGTTCCATGTTCTTAACCGACGAACGAAGCTAAATTATTCGTTTTATTGTTGTGGTTTGTCGTCATGTCGTCGTTGTTGTTGCTGTTGTCATCGTCGTCGTCGTTGTCGTCGTCGTCGTCGTCGTTGTTGTTGTTATTGTTTATGACTATACTGTTGCCGCCGATGCTCTTACCGTTTTTGCTGTTATTATTATTGTTGCTACTGTCCTTGCTGATAATATTACCGTTGTTGTTATTATTATTATTATCATTATTATTATTATTATTATTATTATTATTATTATTATTACTATTATTTGATAAATAACATTGTTAAAGTACTGGAGTGTGATACAGTACTAAGCATGAGAAAGATTTATAACGAATTAACTATTTATTCATTGTTAATTTATATAGCCGCGGCACAAAAGGATAAATTTTTAAATGAAAATATTA